ATTGAGTGTTCAATACATGAATTTAATCTTCATTCTCCTTTGAATTACTAAAATGAATCAGAATAATTGAAACTAAAGTGAAAAGGAAATAAAACCAAACTAAAAGTATTAAGTTAACAATATCATTTTCCATAGATAAAGATATAAATTAGGCTTATCATCTGCACTTTGATGTTCAATTTTCCACTACATTTCTACTTCCAATGTTCGATTTTTTGTCATTTTTCTTATCTCCCCAAATGAGTATAAATACTTTAAATGGCTAAGTCCTCCAACCTTTCATCTCTTGTTATCACTCATCTATATCCTACGACCATTTTGAGTCACTCTTGTCATCCTTCACATTTGTATTTGAAGTATGTTTCGCTTCATTCACCTTTAAGTAGTAAATTTCGTTGTTCTCTTATACTTTGTATTTTATTGCTTTAGCCTTTGTTATGGGGTGGTATTTTTTTCTATGAGGGTGGTGAGTATGTAAGGTTATTCCCTTCGTATCTCACTTTTTTCTCTATGTATCTAGATTCAAGTTGATCATGAGAAGCATATACTTTAGTCTGAACTGAAACAAGAAGGTTGAATATGGATGGACCAGGTCTATGTCCTAGGTAAGGGGGTAATCAAGTGATATTGTCCCTTGAAGTTTTTCACAATTTCAGAATAAACCCCCGAACATCTTGTTATTTTGCCTGAGGGAAATCAGACCTTGACCTCATATTGAGCCAGCATAACTGAATTGGGGGTTTAAAGAGATGGAAAAAAATTTTCAAGGTTGAAACACTTTTCTTATATTCAAAATAATGCTATAAGACTTTAACGTATGTCTAGCTAATCGGGTATAGTGGTGAAAGAGCGGTCGCTAGGTGATTTAGAAGCCCACATCAAAGTCATTAAAATAAAGGCAGAATCTAATCAATAATACATGAATTCGTGAAAAGATTTGTCATGCCTTTCGTATTTACTGCATATCCTTATTTTCTTTAGGGAAAAACACCCCTAATCTAAGGAAGAACCCACCTGAGTGAATGCATGATCCAGACCACCTTTGTTGGCTAAGGTTGAAACAGTTTTCAATTGTCGTACATCGAAAAACACAATCCTTCGCGATGGATGTAGAAAAAACAGTTCGAATAGAGTCGCCACCGAATTTTATTTATCCAAAAAAAAGGAATAGGAAAATATCAATAAAACCTTTAAAAACAGAATAATGATCACCACAACCATATTCGGGTTCGGGAGTCGAGTACGCAAGGGGAAGGTATTAGCACCCCCCCCCCCCCAATGTCCGTTATACTTAACGGGAACCTCTTATTCTAATTTGTGATTGAATGTTAGCACATGTTTATTTGCTTTCTTCGGGTGGTAAAGAGATTAATAGATAACAGAAAGGAAACCTCAAAGAGGGAAGAAGGTCGAAATATTTATAAGGTTTTGTTGTGGATGTTAATGGTTGTCATAAGGAGGTGATTTTTGTGAGGTTGTATTATGATGGGAAGTTATGGAAAACGGAAGTTGAAGAGTGGTAGATGTATGGTGTGAGAAGGAGGTGAACCTTAGCAGGCTTTAGAGGTTGATTAATGGTGGTTTGTGGATCGGTGCAGCTTGGAGAAAATGTATGAAGGTAAGGAGAAAAGGTTGTTGAAGGAGAGAATATCAATTGTGTTTTGACGGGGTATTATAGTGAGTGATGGTATTAAGGTTGCAGAGAAAAAAGGAAGGTAATAGCTTATGTGATGTTATTTTGACGAAAGGAAAAAAATGGTGAGAGAATGTGAGATCATTGAGTATTAATGGTGATGAAATTGAAGGGTGGTGAGTGACTTCGTATTTTACCTGAGAGAGAGAGAGAGAGAGAGAGAGAGAGAGAGGGAGTTTATTATGAGAGTATTATTAGTGAGATTTTTTTTTTTGAAAAAGTGTGTGAGGAGAACCATTAATCAGTGAGTGGGTTGTTATATATGTAGTGTGAGAGAGAAATTTGGGGAGTGGGGCCCGTGGAAAATGAGAGAGGGGATAGAGAGAATATTCCTTAATTTTTGCAGGAAAAAGTGTGTAATGGAGACAAAGTGATGATGGTTTTTTTAAGAGAGAGAGAGAGAGAGAGAGAGAGAGAGAGAGAGAGAGAGAGAGAGAGAGAGAGAGAGAGAGAGAGAGAGAGAGAGGAATATTTATTGGGTTTGTGCAATTTCTTCTTCTTTCCATATTTGTCCCACGTGAAGAGTGAGATGGTGGACTGACTATTGGTAAATTTTTTAATGGAGAGATGAAAAATATTTCAAGGCAATCAATGCGCCACAAAAAAACCGTTTTTCCCCTCAAGAGGAATCTTGACGTGTCCTTTTTGTCCCATCATGAGGGTGGCATGTGAGTGGATTAGAATGATATACTAGTTGTCCAAAATGAATACAGTTGTCCAAGCGTCCTCTCTCTTTTTTACTTCTTTGTTATTTTATCATCTTTTTTAAATTTTGAATGCAAAAAATAAATTAGTAATTAAATTGCAAACATAGTAATTCAAATTAAAAAAATTAACTAATTCTAATTAATTCAAAATATTATTTTGGCTAAAAAAAAGAAATAAACGGATCAAATGATGAATAAAAAGTTGGACCAAAAAGTAGGGATGGCAAAACGGGTCGTGGCCCGCCTGGCTGACCCGCACACCCGCCAAAAAATGGCGGGTTGGGTTTAGATTTTTGACTCGCCGCCCACCAAAGTCTGCCCTGCCAAAGTCCACTCCGTCAAAATCCGCCACACCTTTTGGTTCAGCTTGTCCCACCTTAAATCCATCTTTTTTTAGTTTATTCTAATGCTTTTAATTATTGATGGTTTTACTTCATACATTTATTTGAGAATATATATAATATTTTTTAAAGTGAAATTTGTTAAAAAGATACTTTATAAAAATTGTTCAAAAATCTAAGTGAAAAATCTAATTGAAATGTAAAAATAAGCCTATTAATCTATTAAAAAATGAAGAAAATAAATAAATAAAAAGTAGGCGGCAAGCCCGCCACCTTGTCGGGACGCTAGATTTTTATGTCCATTTCCACTTGACGGGCTTGCCTGGCCCGCCTTTTTTTTGCGAGCTTAAGGCGGGGTGAGGCGGGTGGCCCGTTTTGCCACCCCTACCCAAAAGCGCTCGAAAAATTAAATTGAATGCACTAAAATTATCCGCGTGAAATAAAGTTTTCAGAAAAATACAGCGTTTGGTCAGATTTTAAATAAATTTCCATCGGTTAAAAGGCTCAACTGATCAAAATACGACTGAAAAAATAAAACGAGCACTTCAGGTAAAACCACGCGAAACGTAGGTCAAGAATACTGACGTCTGTAAGCTCGATTTTGAAATTTTTCGTACACTAATTTTTCGCACAGTTTGAAAAACAATTCAACCGATTTGTTTGCATATCCGAAAATTTAGTTGGGATGACATTTTAGACATTATTTATGCTAAAAAAAAACATAAAGTTAGATAAACAAAAATTTAAAAATGTCCGCACAAAATTGGGGTATGACACTGATGTCTCTTGATATACCTACATGGATGTGTTGTCTCCTATCACGTTATGGACTCTTGGGTGAGAGTTGTCCATTTCAAAAGAGCTGGCAACATATAAAAAGGAATGACCATAAATGGAAGTATAGGGTCGATATAAATTTATACTTTACATCCCTATCAAAAGTCATCTATGATGAAGGATTTTACCAAATGCAAGATAGGAAGAACCGAAAGCCCTAACATCTTTTCAAAATAGATTTCACCACCCAACATTCCACCATCAATAATGATTTTCTCCTTAAACTTCTCATAATTTTCTTCTTTAGAAACCATAGCAACACAAACAAATATAGAAAGAACGAAAGATTTTGAGGCGTTACCTTGAAAAAGTGAACTAAATGACTCACGGTGTATGTTGCGCCAGAAGATATGGCACAAATGTGTTGAAATGATGACCAAGCAGAGGATATTGATGAAGATGAAATAAGCTGCAAACACATAAAAGGACTCTTAAGGTTCACAAATGGTGAAAGGAAAGATGATAACCCCTAAGACTCCTCATATATCCTCAAACGAAGGTGACCATATGATATACTACAATAAACATTGGGAAGCGTAAACTACGCCACCAATGGTCAAGATTTTACCTCTAATTGTTCAGCGTAAACTACGCCACCAATGGTCAAGATTTTACCTCTAATTGTTCAGAACACTCGAATTCCATAGTAAAATAGGACATTATTGCTACCAGACACAAGGCCACGCGTCAAAACTCCCCTACAAAATATTGTTAGTCGCGGGAGAGATATTTAATGTCCTCTTTTATGAGTAGGAACAAAGGCTTGAAGGGACAAATGTTATTTATTATTATTTATTTATTTTTGGTTTTCAAACTCTGACTAAACAATATTCTCATCAAAAAATAAACTCAATATTTATCGAACTTTCGTTCTTTAGCAAGAGCTCGTTTATTATTCGAGTTTAAATATTTGATTAGTATGACTTGATTTTAAAAATAAAAAAAAATCATCATTTCGATCTCCAAAAACGGAACTCATAAATATCAAATTGCAAAACACATACGTAGATATCTATTTTACTCTGACATATTTTTAGACAATTCATTAATAGTCAAATTAATTAAATAATTTCATAAAATTTCTAACCAAAATATACATTACAATCACGACTTCAATATATTTAGATACCATAATAAAGTGCATAGATAATTCGAGGACTAAAATGAATATTTTCCCATATTTTCAAATAAATCTTCATTTTAGTCTCTAAATGCAAGAGACGTGTCACTGTTAAAAATATGAAAAAGTCTTTATGAAAAAATAAAATAAAATGTTTGACCGGTCAATTTTGAAATTTTCAGATTTTTACTGCTCCCAGTTTATTACTAATATATTCCCGCTGGTGTTCATCCATTGTGATAATTCTGTGTATCTTTTCATCGAGTTTAAGAATCGATTAATTTCTGGTTAACTGGTAAAAAATGTGTAGCTTAGAGAAGAACGGAAACATCTTCATCCTAACCCTAACCGGCGACGGCGAGCACCGTCTTAACCCGACGCTCCTCAACTCCATCAAATCCGCCCTCCACCGCGTCCGTCAACAAGCCACCACTTCCTCCGCTCTCATCACAACCGCTCATGGTAAATTCTTCTCCAACGGCTATGACATTGACTGGGCACAGTCCTTCGCAGATCGCTTAGTTCTAATCGATGATTTACTCCGCTCCGTAGTCTCCGATCTTCTCTCTCTCCCTATGCCAACCATCGCCGCCGTCACAGGTCACGCCTCTGCCGCAGGTTACATCCTCGCACTCGCTCACGACTACGTTTTGATGCGGTCCGATCGAGGATTCCTCTACATGAGCGAGATTGATATCAATCGTGTTATTCCGGCTTGGTTTGTTGCTACTGTTGATGCTAAGGTTGGTGACGCTGCGGCTCGCCGGAGAATCGTGATGCAGGCGGGTAAGGTTACGGCTAAGGAGGCGGTGAGGTTGGGGATTGTTGACTCGGCGCATGATAGCGCAGAGGAGACGGTTAAGGCTGCGGTTGGTTTGGGAGGTGATTTGGTGAAACGTGGATGGGATGGACACGTGTATGCTGCTAATAGGAAGAGGTTTTTGGGTAATGTGATTCGAGCGGTTGAAGATAAAAGTGAGAGGAAGGTTGAATCGAAACTTTAGTAAGTTGGGCTTTGTTATTGGGCTTAATTTATTTCAACGGAAATTGAATAAGAATCTTTTGGTTTTAAAAATGTATGTGTACTTGTGTCAAAAAGAAAATGTGTACTAAAACTATAATGAAAATAAAATAAGAGATTAATTCGTGTAAAAAATTCTATAATGTCAATTCATAACTATCATATTTGTATTATTTTATATATTTTTAAAATAAAAGTCAAACTGAAGATTTAGAAAATATTGAGATCGATTTTTGATAGAAACATGTCAAATTTCTTTTAATATTTAATATTTATAATTAAGTGACTGTGTAAAATTATTCTTTTATATTGCGAGGACATTTCAATTAAATTTATAAAATAAAAAAGCTTTTTTGACAAAAAAAAATTTCATGTCTCTCTCACACACTTCTTGTTTGACAAAAATAATTTTCGAATTCTAGAATATAAAGTGGGATATTGAAACTTTTAAATTATAGAATAAGAAATTGTTGAATTTATAAACAATGAACATAAATAATTCGATAAGTTGGATAAAATTCAACATGTTTTATGTCAAATAATATGAATAAATTGTGCATAATTCAAAATATTAATTAAATATAAATAGAATTGTTCTCATAACTCAACAATGCAAGCCATAATTTTATCAAAATGTATTAGGATGAATCAAATTTGAACTGATTTGACAAAGGTAGCAACTAACTTAATTAGTCCTTTGATATTATGTTGGTGAACTAAACACACTTGTTATTGTTGATTGTTATACAATGATACTCAACATTAACAATCTTTCTTCTATCACGGTGGTTAGGACGGTTATTCATTTAGTGAAATTGATCATTCATATCAGACGTGTAACACCTACGTTAATATGAACAAATGAGGATGATATTCTTTATTGTAGTAAACTGCAACTTAGACGTGTAACACCTACATTAATATGAACAAATGAGGATGATATTCTTTATTGTAGTAAACTGCAACTTGGTTAGAATTTGTTATGTGTCGGCTACAAGGCCCAATAGATAAGCTCAGTAGTCGGATAAGGGGTCACAAAGAGAGTATGTCATCCCAATTTTCTCTCCATAATGTAAAATTTTCCTCACAAAATCACCATGAACTACCTCCCTGAAATGAGTCATCAGTTAGTTATATTATACTAACATACAATTGCCAACTACCTATCCTATTTAAAGGAGAAAGTGTGTCACTCTTGAGGTTCAATTTATTTTTCATTCAAACTCCATTTCTTACTATCTTACTGACCTAAATGTTGGAGTGTTAATCTTACAATTCAACTTTCGTTCCACCGCATCAAAAACCAAGAACCAACACAACTCATCGTGGATCCCATTTTACCAATCTTCACACAGTTCAAGAGCACAACATTGGTTGTGATTATGGAAATCAACTTTGATTCCTACAATTTCCACACTTCATCGATTCTTGATTCAATTGAATCAAATTTATATATCCTTCGATGAAACACAAATCTACATCTCCAGACCAATTCTTCCAAGTTAAAAATATAATCCCTTGCATCTCATGCACCAGACAATGGTAACTTCCAAATCTGCTAGTTCTTTCGTTCAACAGCAATCGGCCAGGAATCTTTTGCATCCTCTTCCTCGAAGGACGAACAACCAGGTCTTGTTGATTGTCGCATCACTGCTAATAGGGGCCGGCAAAGACAGAAGAGTCGTTGTCGTTCTTTATTTATCCCAGAAAGAGGGAAAGGAAACGATCAGAGAAAACCTACGAAAAAGGGAAAAGACAAGGTCATCGCAACCAAATCTTGGGTTCGAGAGTCGGTTACGCAAGGGGAAGGTATGGGCACCTCTCACGTCCGTTGTACTCAAGGGGACCCATGCTTGTTGTCTAATCAAAGGGTGTGTTTATCTATCAAAGGTTAGCTCACAGGGACAAAAGAAAAGAAAAGAGACTCGATAGAGCATCGCCGCTCTATGCCTACGTATTCCCTCGTGCAATGGGAAAGTCAGAATCAACGTAGTTCGGAAAACTATGGGTGAAAGTGGGGAAGGTTTCTCGCTAAGACATCGTCGTCTTGTGCCTACATATCCTCATCTGGCATGAGAAATCAGAGCAAACATAGTTCGGGCTGACACGACCACAAGTTGGTTCAAGTGTTTTAATGAGTAGGGTTAAACCTTGGTTCTAGCAGTTAGATGTATTGTTGCTCGACCATTGGAGACTTAGGCGTTACCTGTTTGCGGTAGAACCAAGAGTTAACACACTTTTTCTGAAAATGATTTTCCAAACAATCCCGAAGGATAAAAAGGTTTAATGTTTTGTTTTATGTTTTTTATGAAGAAGTGAACTGAATTAAGTTTGTAATTCATGTTGTACTAAAGACTATGACTTGAGAGCGAATGCATCACATAATGCCCAAAGGGCATACACTAAACACTCTAGATGTTTGAAAGGAGGCCCCCCAAACATCATTTCCCAAGTACTTAAGGATTGTAGCGTACAACACTTATTATCCTTTATTAGGTGTCTTAAGAGGTTATGAGATGAGAAGAGAAGACACAAACTCTAAGGGGAAACTAATCAACCCTAATGTTATCATGCAATGTGCTCCTAAGATTGGGATTAAGAGGGAAGAAACTATCCTAATGTTATCATGCAAAGGATTGAACACCTAATGTCTCTCCTACTCCCATCCTGAACGGATGGACTAGGAACCCTAAGGGATCATGGCAAAAGACCAAGTAAACACCAGGTAATTCAATCACAAGAAGGAAGAGAAATGAAATGCAAACATGCAATGCAAGCACAAAAGATGCGAGGATGAGATGAAATGGGAGAAGAAAGCTCTTACGACCATTACCATCAATCATCAAAAAAATGGGAGGAAAAAAGTGTGGGACAGCAGCCACCACAAGCACATCTCAACCAAGCATTTCTTCAAACTCAAGCAATGCAAATGATCATCACTTGAACAACATCCACAAAGTATGCATTCAAGCGGAAATCGGACAACGCGTTTCGAATAATCAAGCTTAAGCAAACACAAACAGCAACACATATCCAAAACAGCTCACTCAAATGCATTATATTGATCCATGAAGATTCAAAGTGAGAAGCAACCAAAACATGCTTGAAAATAAGCAAAAGTGGCATTTTGGTTCAGTGTTAATCAGGTAACACTATTGGTTAACCGGTTAACCATTAAAAAATTTGAAAATTCACCTTGGTTAATCGATTAACCATTTTGTACTGCATTTGGTTAACCGATTAACACTGTACCAGAGGCAGAAAAACAACAGCTCAAAAGCACTTTCAGCAATTAATCACTTATGCAACAATCCAAATGATCATATAATCAATTATGCACGAATTTAAACCAGAAGTCAGTGATCCAATAGCATGTAAGCACATTCAAACATGAAGATCACAAATCACATAGATCAAAATTAACCAAATCAATCAAAAATGAAGATCAACATGATGATTATGCAAATAAGCTCAAAAACGGAATCGGATCTAGAAATGCCAACCTACAAAGCAGAGATTTGCTTTGGTGAGTGTTGATTCACTTGAAATGAGTAGATCGACGCAAGAAACCCGGAGATTCTTCAAGATCCAAGTTTTAGAAGTGAAGATCCACCAAAATCAAGCAAGAATAATCCAAATAAGCTCTTCCAAAATAACTTCCAAATTTAGATCCAAACTAGCACGAAAATTGAATGGAGAAATGGAGGTAATAAGGATGAAGGATGAAGGTTTTAGCTCTAGAGTTCAATGATTCCAATGAAGAATCAAAGAGATCAAGGTGAGAGCTCTAATGGAGGTTATGAAATGAAGAGTTGAGAGAGGATTTCAAGAGTGAGAGTGAATTTCAAAAATGAGATGGAAATTATGAGGATTATTGTGTGAGGTTTGGAGCAAAATCATTTAAATACCCCCTACCCTAGGTTAGGAGTAGAATGGTGATTTGGAGTGTGGTTATGAAAATTGGAATGGGAAATTGGAGGGAATTTGAAATGATTTTTCAAATTAACCAAAATTCAAAGTGGTTCTAGATCCTTCCTCTGGTGTAAAATCAACTTCACAAGTGATCAAAATGGACCCCAAAGTGGCTGCCTTTGAAAATTCACGTGCAGAGGAAAAATTTGCCTTGGTTAATCGGTTAACCATTTGGGTTAATTGATTAGCACCTTCAAAAATTCAAAGTGTTCTGATTTTGCTTTGGTTAATTGGTTAACACCTTGAAATTTTGAATTCTAACGCCTTTTGGAGGGAAATCTGCACATTTGCCCGTTTTCATCCGTTCCCGTTTTCATCCGTTCTAAGCCCTGTCCAGTCTCTGGAACTTGCCCTTGAATGTTATAACCATGAGAATGCTTGAGATAGCCTGAGTGTTGCTTCTCGAGCTGAAAATTATCCTGCAAAAAAAATAAAATCGACTGCTCGATCGCCGGGAAAAATAAATGTCGGGGCTCCCAATGCTCGCTGTTTGGATTCTTGTAATAAAAGGAAAGTTCTGAGCCACAGAAATATCTTGATCCTCTGCCTCCATAATCAATGCTATGATATGCAGAAATGCGAAAATGCAAAGAAAACATAAGCCAAATAAGAAATGTGGTTGGTCAAATTTTGGGGTACAACATTGATGACTCCCTTTATTCCTTCATTGCTAAACTTTGTCTAACATATGGTAGATCTAAGAGTATGCCAACCTCATCCATTTATCATAATGACTCCATAAATCCATCTAGGTGAGCTTTACTTTGCACATACGTTACCATCAACTGTGATCAAATGATAAATACTTCTATGTTTCTTGCTCATGGAAGCTAATCTTGGCTAACAAGAAGATAATAAGTTGTTGAATAGTATTACCAGATGATTCAACAGAAAAATTCCCAAACCTTCACAAAAAGGTTAACTTGGATTAAAGGGTGTCTGCACAAAATCATTCTAATGAGCAACACCGTGTTGGAGAGAGCCTCGCGTATAACTGCTAAGCCAGGAAAG